CGAGTCTACAATGAAGATCGCTTATGGTTGATGTGATTACAAGGACGCAGCTTGGCATTCTAACTCGAATTTCGTCTACGCGTAATGTCAGGAAAGAAGGCAAGCAACTGTATAGGATTGCATGCATACAAAGTATCATGGCTTCCGCAAAAAAGAAATAAATGTCACGAAATAGAAGTCCTCAAGGCAATAAATTGCACTGAGAACCAGTCGGCGGTTGACCAGCAGTCGTTTTTTTGTTTCCATTGTTTGTCTGTTGTTTTCAAAATGTCCGTTATTAAACAATGACCACATACTTAAATGGATAATAACTGTTCGTTTTGGCCAAAAAATGAATTTTCCTGGAGTAAACAACAATTTCCCTTATTTACCAATGGATAATGAATCTATTTCTATCAAATGTAATTTCATTCAAAGATAGTCCCTGTTTTTTTTCTAAAAAATGTGTTTTTTTGTTTTAGTCTCTTAAGAGATTATTACAGAATATACCCATCTATGTAGGTCACGTGGTCCGATGACAAGCTCAGATATCAGAATAATAGCTATAACTACCGGTTTTTGTGGTAAAACAGAATATATTTTATTTCTATGAGTTGTTTACAATGTTTTTATTGTAAAATATAGATCTCATACGAAGAGTTATTATCCCTTTAAGTACACGTCTCAAAGCTGACTGTCCATTCTGGATCACAATAGAGTGAGTTTTAAATTAATTTGCATGGTATGAGCAGCTCTTAAACACAGTTTAATTGCAAAAAGGTTGGGTCTAGGAAACGATCTGATAAACAAACACAATGCTCCAGAAAAATTACAAAAGGAGACAAAGTTGATATCCGTGTGAACAAAATTTTCAGGGCCCTGTATCTCGAAAGCATCGCGTATTGCGAATCGCTATATGAAATAGAGGCTACAATGTATTATATGGGACGAGTATGGGCGAGTTATGGAATCGAGACGCTTGCGCACGTGCGCAACATAGCGAACCTTTCGAGATACGGAGCCCAGGTCATTTTTTGTTCGTTTTGTATTTTATGAAAAACAACACGTTATGAGTATATGCAGAACGAGGATGTACATGTCACTACTTTTCTCTATGAATACCTTTTACGTTTCTCCCAAAAGAGAAAATAAATAATCAACATTACACAAAGTCGATTTCTACGAAATCAACAGCTAGGATATAAAGAGAATTAGAGAAGGTGAGAAAATGTATGGAAAAATAAATTTCTGAAGAATGAACCATATCCCTTAAGCGCCAATCTTAATTGTCAAAAATAATATTATTGGAAAATCTAGTTCTGTAGTAAGATGCAGTGCATATCTTAAAGAAAAATTAAAATGTCGCCGTAGCAGGTAGAGATCACTCTCGAAAGCTCACACAAAAATAATGATGATTATCTTTGCCTTTTGAACATTTCCAAGGTATGATAAATTTCCTACAAGAGACTGATTTCAGCCTCCTCGTTTTTCCAAGAACGACGCCACAGAGGATTACCGGTCCTCTTGACGCTGCTTTAATAGTCTTTATTTGATCCGACTCTACCATTACCTGAATTACCATGGCAACTTTAATTAAGCGCCCGTTTGCCAATTCCTTGTTTACAGAGAACCCGGTTTGCTGGCCTAATCTTTTAAGCATGCCGGAAGTCTTGAAGGATGGAGTGGTCACTTCCGGTCAGTTAGGTCAGCAGGTCAGTTTTTACACTGGGTCAGTGGGTCATAGATAACATAGATAACACCATACTTTGCGTGATAAACACAACACCTGTTGTCTTTCTGCTTAGTTTTCCTGCTTAGTTGAGCACACGATATTGTTATATATATAACAATATCAAATAAGAAATACATGCAATGACCGAGTATATAGATATATATACAGCTGTTGAGTTTGCATCATGGGGTGGAGAAGACCTGGTCACGCCAGATCTGGTAACTGTGACTGTAGATTCTGGTCGCCGTATATGCTTTAACCGCGTTCCGTGCTCCCCAGGGAGGTAGGTAAGATTCAGGACAGGTGTGTGTTACAAGGTCGATTGAACTTGTTGTCAGGTAATAAAGGTAAATCAGCACCGTGGCATTTCTGATGGTCTGGAATCACCTCCAAGTCAGCATGCCCAGCTGCCGTCTTGAACCGTGTGCGGCCTGTAGGCCTACTGGAATGTCGGAAGCTTTTTAAAAAGTATTATCGACCATTATTTTCACTTTTGTAGAAAGGATAATTAAAATACGAAGTGTTTCATGCCAAACTTATGCGACATCACTGCTTGATAATTGCATTTGCTATAACTGCAAATTGTGGATACAATAATTTTTATCACGAAACATTTCGTTTTCATTTAAGAGAGCTCTATAGTTATTACTTACTTTGGCATCAAACACAGGTTAGGATTTAATTTTGATACGCATTGAGAAAAAAACAATATATCCCCACATCTTCACGTTTTTCTTTCAAAATAAATAAATAAATAAATAAATAAATAAATAAATAAATAAACAGGAGAACAAATAAGTGTTATTTATTCGGACACATATCATTCGACAGGCGTAGGCAGGTAATACATGTAGAGTTAACATTTGATAAAACACTCTGCCATCGACGGGGATCTACTGGGAGGTCAATAGTTTCCGGTGGATGTACCGCAGTAAAATGTGTTTGGCAGAGATTGATACACCGTCTTGCAATCTTTCCCGAGGTTAATGGCCACTTGGGTCCCGTGTGGGCAGAACCTGGGCTAAATGGGGTTCTTCGGACGTTAACATCGGTGCCTGATGTGCTCCAGTTATTTGATGTACCTTGTAGCAACTGTGCGTTGATTCCATGACCAAGACATGATGGGACTGGATAATTAAGTAGCCATCGTTAAAACCTTGATGTAGGCTCCATCTGGGCGTTGTGTCGGGGCAGTAGAGGTATGCCCTCATATACATGGTTGTGATGGTTCCGAACACAAGCACTTCCACACCGTTTCATTCCCCTTATGGTTGATCAGCCATTTCATGTTTGTTCATACCGTTTCTCAAAAGTGTCCCAGAAGAGTTATAGGTACCGAGCCATCTACCGTAGCAACGATTATTTTGTTTTGCATTTTGTATTGTTTTGCATTAATTAAGGCGGTCTGAGATGTTCCCGATTGCATCGACACGAATGTCCACTGTTCAACGGACGCCGCAACGGGGAAATATAATATAATATAATATAATATAATATAATATAATATAATATAATATAATATAATATAATATAATATAATATAGGTGTTTCCATCAATGCATTAAAGCCATGTACATGTAGTATTTATTTAGTATTCATTTATATGTGCATCTGTGTATGCAAAAGTTAAACTCATTACTAAGAAAGGTGTTTAGGGAATACCATCACGTCTTTAGCGATCAAATCTGACGAGTGCAACCAAGTGCATGCAAATCATATGATGGACAAAGATTGATGCATCTTTGAAATAACCTACGTAGGGATCACTGAGCCTTGGGCGGTGAGATGTGCGCGGGAACTGCCCAGAACTGTCAATTAGAGCGGCTCCACAGGTACGTAGACCCCCCTCTTTCTCTTCCCCCCCCCCCCAAAATAGCGAATCTCCGTCCCTTCCGAGGGAGGAAAGTCAGACCGGAAGGATAAAAAACGCCCGTTTTATGTAATAATTATCACACAGCAAATCTTTGCGGCGGCGGGCAAGGTGGGTGGCGTGTTCGCCTTCCTTTCCTCGGCATCCTGGATCTGATAGTGGTAGTTTATGACTTTTCTAAAGGTAGGCACCCTGTATCTGATAGTGGTAGTTTATGACTTTTCTAAAGGTAGGCACCCTTTATCTGATAGTGGTAGTTTATGACTTTTCTAAAGGTAGGCACCCTGTATCTGATGGTTGTAGTTTATGACTTGTCTAAAGGTGGGGTCTAAGTAGATGGTGATAGCACAGGGAATATGTATGCATGTATGGTATGGGCTGGCGGCACTGGAAGCTGAATGACATTCAATCTTTAAATGTTACAGATGATATAATCGTACATACGTTAGTTACCTATGATACTTGACACTTCAGAGCGGAGATAGGGTATTTTGGCGGCGCTGAGTTCATCGTACCATGTGGTTTTTCCAGCATGTGGTCAAGGCATCTCTTAGATGGGAAATACGTTAAGGGTGGGGTTTTTAAAGGATGAAGACGCGGTGAAAGCCGGTTGACGTATGTTCAGTAAAATGGAACTATCTAGCCATCTGTAATGTCGATGTCTGTCAGAAAGTTGGCTAAGCAATTTGAAAGCGTGCCATTAGTTCAAATCTCGGCTGTTGGAAGATTTCCTAAACCTAATATAAGTGCAAACTACTGAAGTCACGAACTTGAAATGTCATTTCCGTAGTGCATATTCCCCCTGAGAACAGAAGAAATATAAGCACTGTCATATCAAGCACATTGCTTTTAGGTACAATTAACTGTAGAAGACAACATTGATTAACTTAATGTAAGCCACCCATAGTATGCGGTTAAAGGTGTCGCTGTCTCTCTAAGTTTGTTTCCAGGTTGCACTTTGAACCAAGCGGCATTTTGATATTTACTCTATGTTGAGCATAGTAAAAGCTATATAGTAAAATGCTGATACAGGTACTTGAGATACAGCTACTGGGTTATTTTTCGGGTCGACGTTGCCCAGGAGTTTGGTATTTAGTAAGCATTTAAATTAGTTGAACGTTCACTTTATGCACTGCGTACAGTGTAATGAATGAACGCTTAGGTTATCTGTTAGGGCAGTGTGATCATTATAATGACATTTGTTGTAGGCAAAACTGATCGGAAATAGCCCAGTAAAATGCCGATACTTAAAACAACATTATGTGTTCACAACACTAGTAGCATTTGTTTGGAATAAGATGTGGTTCGAGTATAGTAAAGGTGTCGAAATCAGTTGATCAACAGCAGTTGATCTCTCGAAAGCTGTTTTGTTTGTATTAGTAAGCTGAAGGCGCACTTGAGGGCGCTAATGGGTTATTGTTTACGTGTGCTTGTAATGGCGTTGACTGGCACATATGCTTGGAGGTGCCTTACTACATAGACAACTGTAGAGTCGACGCTTGCCATATTCTGAGCTGAACATCGTTGGGAGACATTGGACTTGGTCTATTAATCAGGGCGCCAGAAACGGAATATCAGAACATAATTACATTCAAAAGTGCATCGCACATGTCATATGGGAACGTTTAGAAACTGATTGCAATATACAGCAGTTCCTCTCAGTGTGCACGGTGGCTCGCGAAAGGAAGATTATTGGACAAAGATAGATGACGTCCCTGTGAGTTTGTTCAAAGTTCAATAAGCAGCTAACAGGTAATGTTTGTTAACATACAAAGGTGAATCTTGCCATCTGTTGTATGCAATGGTGCCCAAATAGTAGATTTGCGTGTGAAAGCGTTCTCTCATTTATAATACATAGACAAGTCGAATTAAGAAAAACAAATTACAGTGCAGCACTGTACAATATTTAGAAGTGGTGTAAAGCAGTACAGATAGCGGTGGAATTCGTAGATTCTTTGATCAATTATGGGTCAAATTCGAAAGGGTTATGAAAAGAACCAGACATGTAAATACAGAGGAAGCTTTCTGACCTTACGTTTAGGGCACGATCCGAAAAAAAACATTCAGCTGTTTTCAGGCACTAAAAACAGGGCAGTCATTTTCTTCGATTAACAGCAAATATGGAGACGGTTACTCCTAAAATTCCCCGAGGAAAGTGCTCTGATCAACATTTAAAATAATAGCTGCTGATTGAAGAAAATATTATCGCTTTTCTTATTCGCTTTTCTACGATATACTCGTAAGTCTCTGTTAGTGTGCAAAAGAATATGCATAATATGGTATAGTGTCTTACTCATTCTGGGGCGTGAGGTTGTCAATATAAATGACACTACTTTCTAGAACACAAATACTTGTCGTAAGAACCCAGGGCGTGGGCCTTTTACAAAGAAACCGCAATTGGATACGAGTTGAAATGAAAGATAAAAACAATGTCATACATGCGCGTTATTTTATCCACCCGTTCTCTCTCCATGAATGCAATGACCGTACATGAGACTTAACAATGTGCTTTTGTTATTGTCAGAGCGTCTGCGTGTCCTCTTTGACCTTGCGTGATTCCGTTTGGTTTAAAGTCTTGAAAAGTAGCTAAATGGACGGAAAGACGTTGGTCACAGTGGTGTCCGGAAGATAATTTTTGGTGGCTTTCAATAAAAGTGAAAGCTGTAATGTGCATGTCTGGTAGTATAGTTTGGATGTTTAACCTGTTGTATTAGTATAGGTGCCTTTTTTAAAGTTTTTCGGACGAAAGTGTGGTTGACTATGAGTTGTAACATATTAGAGCAAGTGAAGTCAGAAAAAAAGTACTGATCTGAGCTTTCTAAGCACTGCAGTGCTTTTTGCTTTTATTTGTTTTCTTTTCAGTTTTCTTTTGTTAGTGTAACGGTGTAAACTATACTGACCTACTGTTCGTTGTTTATTTTCTCCTAATTATGCTGTCAACATGCAGTGTCAGAGCTGTCACTTTCCTAGAACTTAGAGATGACACGTCTGCTCATCACTGTTTCTCTATAACACAAATGATTTCGGACAGAACCGTCAATAACATACGTCCACAGGGATTTTTTCAAACTCTATCCCAATCACACTTGTCTAACACTCGATCTGTACCTTTTTAATGTTCGCGTAAATATAAACTAGGGCGATTTATTATCACATTTTTTCATGCAGCTATAAAGCTCCTCATTATATAGAAATGATGACTTTCTTAGAAAGTCTTAGAGTTAATAAATCACACAGGGACATATTAGAAACGGACGTTTGGCTCGTAAACGTATTTATAAATTGAAAGGGAAATATCGATATACGCTGCCCAAGAGAGAGAGAGAGAGAGAGAGAGAGAGAAATGTCTTTTCATGTTACATCGATAAGAACAAGAGTACTTAAACTCGCAAGTGTCAACCTATGACGGTGCAAACGTCCTTGATGGCAACCAGGCCAGGTCGCACGGACATCTAGCATTCAGCCGCCCGGGGTGCCAGTGATAAAATGCGCTAACATTACTCGATAGTGCAAACTGAGTATATACCACCTTAGCCGTGTTGCCCTTAAAATCTAACGAAATTGATTTACAACTGTAATGTCAATAGACACAAATAGGAGTGCTCTAAGCGGTCCATCCCACGCCAGTGAAGACTCATAATGACCAACATTAAAGGAAACATTAATACTACAGCCCTAAGGTGTTTTGGGTTTAAACAAACTAAAGTTTGTTAAAGCTCCTGTGCATTCATCAGGGATAGAGCCATGTATCCAAGTAAGTTACTGAACTGTCTATTCATAGAGTGCTTACACGATAAGAGTAAGGTGTGATTGCCTTTGGGTAAACGTGCCGAAAAAAAAAAAAAAAAAAAAAAAAAAAGAGAAGAGCTGAGCTGAGTCATCTGATACGGATGTTATATTGATAACTATATAAAGTGGTGCCTGTGTTTTGTCAAAAATTTGTCAATAAATTAATTGTTCTAGGTGGCACTAATAATGCGGATGCCATGATTGAATCACACTTTTAACGTGCCACTGTCAAATTTCCGATTTCTAAAACATAAATAAACTTGGTCCATAACAAGTTTCTTTTTCGTCCTTGGTGCTTCTAGTGCAAATTTTGAGTCTTGTAATTGGTTGCACATTGATCACTTTATACCACCGCTTTATTTCTACAGAAAAGCTTTATTTAAGCTTAATTGCAATCTACGGACGCGTCATCCCTCGGGCGGGGTTTCAGCACAGTAAACCTGTTCAGGGGCGGATCCAGGATTATTTGAAAGGGGGGGGGATTTTTTTTGGTGTTTTGGAGAGCGAACAGTGCCCTTTGGTGNGGGGGTCCGGAACGACAGACCTCGGATGCGAAGCTGACCATCGCCCCCTTGGTGTGGGGTTCGGGGCCTGCTCAAGGGCCCCGAATTTTTTTGGTGTTTTGGAGAGCAAACAGTGCCCTTTGGTGAGGCTTAGAACTATGAATTAGCTAATCGAAATTCAAATTTCAAGAGGAGAATACTGATGTGATATATTTTTCACAAATCGTAGGGGGAGGGGGTCTGGACCCCCCTGACCCCTCCTCTAAATCCGCCACTGTCCTCGTCGTGAATAAGAGTTTTAACTGCCAATATGACCCTCTATTAAACAGTTAACCCCCGGGACTTCACATCGGGACGACTGGATTTAAAACGGTTCATAGCGCGTCTCCTATGACAAAAACCTAGCATGGCATGATAATCACTGGTGGAAAGTAAGCGCTTTGTTCAGTGATGTAGCAGAGAACGTTTTAGTGGTACATAAACTATTCATCATGACAAGGAAAGTCGCCTATTTTCAAAAGCATGGAGGAAATGTTTTGTCTCCTACTTTGTATGACTTCCGCCAACCGAGGGAAGTGCGATGGTGAGGGATATGTTGGACTTAAAAGCTTATAGCCAGGAATTATTCTGGAAGTTAGAAAGGTTATATGTCCCTCGGAATGTGAGACTCGAGTAGTTTGTGTGGCGCCGCCAATTATTTCACAGACAATGGTCGGCCCCCATTATTTCGACGTTACTCCATTAGTTTCCCAGACGGTATTTTTACCAACTGATATTTTTTTTTGTCATTTTTGAAATATATCACGGAAGAGATATGATCATTTCACCATCACATAGATAAGCTGAAGCTTCGTATTTTCAAGCCGATTACAGATCCATTAAAACCATTATCTTTCTAACTCCAATTACCGTTTGTCAAAGTTTCATTTAATCCATTGAGCCATTACGGGTGCATTACAGGCCTTGAAATATAAACATTAGCTCGTGGCTTTGAAACCTTCTCTTGTTAATTTTGCTTTTAGCATCAAATAATGAACTATTCTTTAGAAAACCTTTTAAATGTAATTTGATGTCATGCTTGATAAGTTGGAATATGACACATTTCCCAGATGATTCGTACGTATAATACGATGTTGCTAGGTTGAAACACGCAGCAATAACCAGACGGTTTGTATGGAGGTTCTTCTCTTGATTTTTACCAATAAGACAACTGAACAGCATTTATAATCTTTTGCTGTTGGCTTATTTTTGCAAAATCATCTGTAACCGTAACATTCTTTCTTCCTGTGTCTGTTCATCTCGCTATCTACACGTATCTCTCTCTCTTTCTCTCTCTCTCTCTCTCTGTGTATGTGTCTGTCACCTATTTTAATATGAATACTTTTACTTAATTGGCATTTTAAATTTACCCCATAGCTGACATGCAGCTTGCCACATAACATCTGAATAAATTAAAACTAAACTGTTTCCATCAATTACAGATAGCATTTTAAATTAACTTTTATTTCCGACACACAACCTGCCACATACGTAGATCTGAATATATTAAAATTTTACGGTAGATACATGAGCAATAAACGTTCCATTTTCCATCAATNAGGCCTTGGAATATAAACATTAGCTCGTGGCTTTGAAACCTTCTCTTGTTAATTTTGCTTTTAGCATCAAATAATGAACTATTCTTTAGAAAACCTTTTAAATGTAATTTGATGTCATGCTTGATAAGTTGGAATATGACAAATTTCCCAGATGATTCGCACGTATAATACGATGTTGCTAGGTTGAAACACGCAGCAATAACCAGACGGTTTGTATGGTTATTCAGGTTCTTCTGTTGATTTTTACTAATAAGACAACTGAACAGCATTTATAATCTTTTGCTGTTGGCTTATTTTTGCAAAATCATCTGTAACCGTAACATTCTTTCTTCCTGTGTCTGTTCATCTCGCTATCTACACGTATCTCTCTCTCTTTCTCTCTCTCTCTCTCTCTCTCTCTCTCTCTCTCACTGTGTATGTGTCTGTCACCTATTTAAAATACTTTTACTTAATTGGCATTTTAAATTTACCCCATAGCTGACATGCAGCTTGCCACATAACATCTGAATAAATTAAAACTAAACTGTTTCCATCAATTACAGATAGCATTTTAAATTAACTTTTATTTCCGACACACAACCTGCCACATACGTAGATCTGAATATATTAAAATTTTACGGTAGATACATGAGCAATAAACGTTCCATTTTCCATCAATTTTATTATGTCTGAATATATCTATAAATCATACACAAATTATAATGGCTATTAAATTAAATGGTCCTTCTACAACGCGTAAAGATGTGACACCAAAAGGAATCGTTTTTTACCCAACTATATGAATAAAATACCAGTGTTTGCTGCATTGTTGTTCATCCGCCTATAAAACAAAGAGGATTCTGAGCAATTCTGGAGTCGAGAT